AAGAATGCCCCAGCAGAGTGAAAAGAGCAGGAATCATAGCACCAGAATCACATCACCTAGAGTAATCAGAGCAGCATTTACTGAGCACTTTACTGCATGCCAGACGACACTGTAAGCAGTTGACAGTTTAATCCATATAATTTGCTGAATTCATTTTCCAAATAAGGGAAGAGAATCCCAGAGAGGTTGAATAACATATACCAAATGGCCAGGGGGTACTGAAGCCCAGCCATCTGACTCCACAGCCCACCTGCTGGTGGACACAGGAGAACGGAAAGACCTGGAAGGTGAGCAGGCTGTATGTGGAGGGCCTGAGGGCCGCCTCCAATCTCTGGGGACATCAGGCCTGATAAGGGAACTCCTCATCCCCTGTGAGGCACTGGTTCAGTGGCCCCTCCAACCCCCTTGTGGTCCCAGAGGTTGCTCTCTGAATCTACAGAGGCCCGGCCAGCGCTCAGAGGCAGACAGTTTGAGATTGGCTTACAGATAAGGCTGTGTGCTTTGCCAAAGTGGAGGGAGGTCTATGGGTCTTTTGAACGTTCAGAGGAAAGAGCAACGGATGACGGACGGAAATGTGGGCTGGGAAAATCGCAGTGCATTTCTCCTGGCGGGGTCCACACATGAGAGGAGCCTCGGAAGAAATTGGTGGCTTGCTGTCCACGCCTCCAGGCCTTTGCCCACACAGTGTCCCAGCCTGAATTCACTTCCCCCACCTCCTCAACTGCCTGATTCCTCCTCCTCCTCCTCCGGGGCAATGATTAAATGCAGTTTCCTCCAGGAAGCCTTCCAGTCCTCAAACTGAGCAGCACAGGGCCCTGTATCAGTTTCACCTGACTTTCAAGCAGGTCAGACTCAGCACCACCAGATCACTACTGGGCAAACCTCAGGCATTTGGATGGGGTTGGGGGGCGGGGCAGGCTCCAGCTTGTCAGAGAGGGTTCACACCTCAGGGCAATGATCCCCAAAGGGAGGACAGTCCTCCACCCCTGACCCCCAGGTCCCTTCTGAATTTCCTCCCATCTGGGGTATCACCTGGGTGACCAGACCACAGTGACTTTAATCTTGTTCTTTCTGGGTCTGCTGCTTAAACCTCAGGGGACTTGAGCAAGCTACCTGGGCTCTCTGTGCCTTTTCCCATGTAGGAAGTGGGGATGATAACAGGACCCATCTCATAGGGCTACTATGAAAATTAAAGAGGTCTCAAAGCAAATGCACCATTATTGCCGTCCTCACCGACTACCGGTTTCCCAATTTCTAGAATGTACTAAAGTCGGCGTGCAGGCCCAAACTCAGCAATGAGGTTCCCTTGCGCCCTCCAGAGGCAGTTCTCTGGTACTACATCCTACCGAGCACCACTCAGGAGCCTAAAGGTTAAAAGTGACACCCCTTAAAAATAAGCTATCCAGCATGGTTTAAGTCAAAAGACAATTGATCTGCTACCACAGCCATATGCTGCGCCCTTCCCTGGGAGGTCATCCACTGGCTGGCTCCTTCTTAAACATTCAGACCGCAATGACAGTGTTACCTCTTCAGATAGTCCTTTGGGCTCCCTATTTATTTAACACTGAGCACCTGCTCTAGGTCACTACAGATCTGCTGTAAACACCAATGAAAATCCCTTCCCTCATGGAGGTGACATTCTACAGGGGGAAACAGAGAAGTAACAAATAAACATTCTATCGAGTATAGCAAGTGGTTTCAAGTGCTAAGGAGTAAAATAAATCAGGAGAGGGTAGTAGTAGTATGTGGGGGTGCAATTTTTGACAGGTCTGGAGAGAGGCCTCACTGAGCTGCAAGCCTGTGAATTAAGACTTGAAGGAGGTAAAGGAGGGAGCCATGGGGAGATCAGGGGGAAAGCACTCTGGGCAGAGGGAACAGCAAGTGAAAAGGCCCTGGGGCAGGACTATGACCTCTATGAGGTGGGAACTGTCTTGTTCCTGGCTGGGTCCCCAGCAATGGGAGTGACACTTAGCACATAATAGTGGTCAGAAAATATGGCATGGATGAATGAAAATCCCAGGGATAGCTTTTAGGAAAAGGTTCTCAGGGCTCAAATGATGGTGCCAGATTTTTACCTCCTCCACCTGATGACTTCATTCTCAGCCAACTTTTCTTTCTGTGTTCTGAGATAGTGACTCAGCTTCAAATCTTACCCACAAAGCTAGAATCTTGAATAAAATCTATGAGATCATTAAAACTATGAGAATGGGATATGATACACTGACATATTTTATATTTGGGAAATGTTGCAATATATATATAGAGAGAAAAAGAGCTGTGATTTATTGAAAAAAGAAGGAGAGGAAGGAAAAAAAGAACCTACCTCTCAATTTTGCCAGCAAATCTCTAACAGAGCCCATTGGTTGAGTGGATCATGTGCCCACCCCTCACCCAGCCAGGGTCAGGTCAGCTAGACCAACCACCGAGCTGAAGGTGGAAGCCTCTAGTATGAGAGCAGACTAAGAACACAGGGAAACACCTCTTGGATAGAGGAAGAGGTAAAAGCAAGGGGAAGCTCCCAGTGGGCCCATAGGCAATGGGGAGACCACTGGCAGAGGTGGCTGACCCTAACTTGTTCTTAAAATAGAAGCCTGAGGGAGGGGTGTGAGGTCAACAGGAGGGTGGGCTGCCTCTCAGTTCTAGGGTTCCAAGAGGTTGGGATGAAGATGGGTTGAGGGTGGGGCTGCAACCTACCAGTAAGCTCAAGGAAGAGTCTGGTATTTATGCTGTGCCTACTGTATACCTAAGCCCTGACAGCCACATCTCCTTCCAATTTTCCAAGTACATCCAGCAACCCACTGCTAGGAAGGCCATTCTACCTACTCTCCATGGTGTCTCTAGCATCCAGCCCAGCACAGTGCCTGGCATACAGCAGGTGCTCAATAGATGGTTCTTGCTGAATGAACCCTGTGAAGGAGGTAAATTCCTAACCCCATGACAAAAATAAGGACACTGAGCTTAAGAAGTGGTCAAGGCAGAACCTGTACTAGAGTCCAGCTGGGTCCAGCCTCCCAGTGGGCCATTCACGGGATATACCTGGAAGTGTGAAGTCCCTCCTCCTTCCCTTCCTGCTCAGTGGTGACACTGGTGAGGGCTTGGGAAGATGATGCCTAAGCCAGTGCAAGATGGTCCCAGGGCTCCCAGAGCTCCAGGACTCCTTGTCCACATGAAACTGCCAGCCACCTTTGGGCATCTGAGCTACCTCTGCCCTAAGACAGGCCCATCAGCTGCTCCCACAAAAGCCCACGAAACCTGCCATGAGCAGGTACCTCTCACAGTCTGTCTCTGGAAGGGTCCCATCTTACAACCATTGATTCAACTCCAGGTTCTCAGAGCTTTGGAAGGAATAAATTCAAAGAGAGAACACATTTTTTTGTTGGGGTGTGTTTTTTAAAAAGAGGACAGAAGATCCCACTTCTCAAGGCAAGTCCCTCGGAATTGGAGTGGGATGTATGCTAGAGGGTTCATGGAGTTTGCCCAGAGTTGAAACCAGTAGGGTTTTTCAGGGATATTAACCTGGACCTAAAGAGTCCCAGTGACTCCTGGTGCTGGTCTACCCTCCAGGCCAAGGCCTGGACCAGCCCTAGTAGGATTCAAACAAGAAGAAAGTGGGCTGATTTTTCACTGGGGAGAGAGAGATACAGAGGAATGTCCCACTCAGACCCATCCTGGCCTGGACCTGTCCTCCAGTTCCCCATGGCTTAAAGCTTTGAGGGCTTTCCCACTTTAGGAGAGCAGACAAGGAAAACCACATGGAGTGAGGGACAAGAGAGGGAGCCCTTGATATAAGCCACCCACAAGACCTGGTTTTCCAGAACCACCTCTATTCCTGAGGGAAATGTTTCACTCACTCCACCTTCCAAAAAAAGGAGACTAGAAATCCTTCCCAATCATTCCTCCTCAGCAGGTCCCAAGGGTGATAGTGGCTGGGCTACACAATGGTTACAGCACAGACCCTGGGTTTGGATTAGAATTCAGGCTGCCTCCTTAGCCTGGGGTCTCTAACAGGTGACCTTAGGGGTCTGAGCCTCCCTTTTCTTGAAATAAGATGAGGATAATCATGCCTAAAGAAATTTACACACACAATACGTTCTCAGCAAATGCAGCTTATTAAGGTAGAGGAAAGGTCCCAGGCTGAAGGTGACCCAGGAGACCTGTGAACCAGGAAAGGAATGCAGAGGCTAGCAGTGAGGAGGAGGCCAGGGGAAGACCAGCCTGGGCCTGCACATGGCGAGACTCTAAGTGTCTGAGCAAGAGCCCTGGGTGCCCAGCCACCAGCAGCCCGGGATGGGGGTGGGGGGCTACTTCCACGGGAGCTGGTGAGCACCCGATGTGTCCCTGGCTTTTAGTACATGCCCATGGTCCCGGACATGCCCCAGGTTCTTTGTCTTCCCTGGTTGCCCTCAGTCTACAGGTCCCTCTGGGTGTGATGTGTTCCCCGCCCTCCTGAGGCCACCTGCCTCCCTAGAGCCCCATTCACTCCCTGGCAAACCCACCCACCTCCAGACGCCTTCCAGCCAGGCCCCACACGTGTCCTTGCCCGCCTGGACAGGGACCCTCGGCCAAGGCCACAGCCTGACCTTGGACCTCACTCGAATCCTCGCCCTACCACCGTGGCCTCCATGGGGTCCACAGAGGGTGTGCAGCCGCTTTGTTTGGGAGCTGGGGTGTGGACCCTAGGGCGGCTGCAGCCTCCTGGAGCCCCTACACCAGCCCCAGGTCCAACCTCTGCGTCACCATCGCAGGAGAGAGTGTGTCCCCAGACCCCACCTTCCAGCTCAGGGAGGAAGGCTTCCAGGTGTCCCCACCCCATCCCCTCTGGACCCCTTCAGATCGTAACTCAGAGGCCTAAGTCCACCACCAAAGAGCTTCAGCTAGCTGTCTGCCCTCTCCTCAGAAACCCACGAGGACCAGGCCTGCTTCCAAAACCTCTGGTTGCCTCATGCTTGAGATTGTCTATATTAGGCATTCAATTAATATCTGCTCCCTGAATAGCTGAATCAGAGAATCGATGCTTTAATAAATAAAGAACTTGGTAGTTGGTCAGGTTTGTGTTTGGACAAATGTGCTGCGTCTCCTGCCCTAGCTATCAGTGCTGTACCAAACTCTAAGCACCCTGTAGTACAACATCCGTGTCTTGGTCCATTCGAGACTGACAGGAGAAGGTAAACATTTTGTGGAGCACACCTCACAGCCAGAAATCAAATGCCTCTCCGTGGTGTCTGGGTGGACAACTGCCTGGCATCACAGCTTCCGGTCCTGGTTTGGCAGGCCCCACCAGCTGGCTTAGACAGAGGACTTGCCCTTCAACAACTGTTTCTGTTTCTCACTCTGCTTTTTGGGGTTCTTTTCTTGAAACTTCTGCCACCAAGTCTTCCCACGCAGAATAAAAATATTATATGTCATGTTCGCTGGAGGATGTCTGAAATAAAACACACAAAACCACATTGTGCAACAAAGTGTATAGGAATTCCTACTGTCTACGCTTTGGGTGGTGACAGAGGCTTAAGTTTCTGAAGGGTGAGCATTCGAGGGCCCCTCAGGAAGGTCTGTCATGTGTGAAATTCATTTTGCCTCTGGGCACCAGAGAGCTTCCAAGAAACTCCTTCCCCTGCCCCCAACTTTGTGGTAACACAGGCTCTCCACAGCTTCAATTCGCCTCTGTGGGATGGAGCCACGGTCTTGGCCACTTCTTGTGATATCTTCTAAAGGCACAGAAGGGAAATGTCAAAGCTGATGTATAAGCTCCAGTCAGAATTGTGAAGTGCATCAAGCTTCCAGAAGCTCTTGAAATCTTCCATCTCTAACTTCTGCCACATTCTGGGCTCCTCTTTGACTTTCAGTCCTGTGTCAGAGGAGGAAGCTGGATGTGAGGCAGTAGTGGCTGGCCTGAATGGGTTACCAGTCTCAGGAATCATAGTGTTTTAAAGAACACCTTTAGGGAAAGCAATACCACTCTTGTGGGCAATTTTAAGTACTGCAGCTTCCGAATTGTGGGGGAGGGACACTTCACCCCCATGGAACACCACAGCTTCCTTTCTCTGTGGACAAGCTGAGCACATAACACAGTGCTGGGCAAGACCCGAGGGGCTTTGGGAAGCTGCTTTTCCCTGTGATAAAGAAGTGTGTCTCAAGGGATGCAGATAGAGGCACATAATTTCAAGATGCAATTACTGCAAATGCATAATCTTGTAAGCCATTTACTTTCTAGTGCCTACTCAAGGTTATAGCCACTGTGTCAGAGCCCTCTCGTCAGGGGGATAACAGACACATTCAGCAAGTTGTACAGACAGACCCTGACTGGTCAACATGGCCTCTATCAGAGCAGAGCCCTGGAGGGCCACTGCTGGGCCAGGCCCTTCATTTGCAGGACCCCAGGGGAAGACTGAAAAGTCTGTTGGAGGTCCTGGGAGGGATCGTTCAATATTCTAACCACCAGGGCTCCTGACCCCGGGTGAACAAGCCAAATGTCAGCCCTGTGGTCATCTCCTCCACAGCCTCAGCCCTCCCTGCCCTCGTATTCCTCTTTTCCAATCTTTCAGGCAGAAGCTGTACCATCTCCTCTTTTTTAAGTGACCATCAGTGCGAAAATCGGTGTGACCTAACCTAAGGGATTCTTTATGGAGGCCAGCATGGAACCAGCCAGGAAATCCATACCCGACTGTGCGTCAACACCAAGCACTGCCTTGCTTTAAAGCTCCTAGCCCGGGCCATCTGTACCCTATGAATACACAACGTAACTCCAGGATCACCAGGAAGCTCGGGGGTAACATTGGCACAGATACCCATGAGTTCTTCGGAGGAAGGCAGGAGCTAAGAGCCACTCACGATTGCTGTTTCCTCCTGCAGCACATGGTCAAGGCCAGCAGCAACAATGCTGTGACCACAAGGACTCCCGCCACCGAGCCAGCACCAATGATGATGTTCCTCTGGAGGAACTGCAGAAGCTGCTCACATGGTACGGTCTTATCTGGAATCTCTAAATGAAAAGACACATGGCAAAGTAAACAGAAAGAAAGTCCCCATACAGATCTGCAGGGACAAACCTGTTAGCTCTGCTTACAGCAGAACTGAAAACCTTAGAAACTTGGCCTCTGGCTCCAGAAGTCCTCTGGGGGAAGAAACTGGCTTTGTTTAAGAAAATACACTCCTAAGCTGTTTGGCAGTGACATGAGATGCTGTGTGGTGCTGGAGATGAGACGCTGAGGGTATGAGCCCAGCAAGCAGCGAAGCAACCAAAAAGAAGGGACAACAAGGCACAGTTTGCAGGAGAAGAAGAATAGAGGAAGGTCAGATGGAAGGGGGAGGCAGAGGCCCCCAAGGGGGTAGAAAGTTCTGCAATGACTACTAAAAACAATGGAATCAAATACTCAGTTTCGAGCTATCCCCCATCACCCTGCCCTCCCAGCTTCAAGAAGTTCCGCCATATATAGCGTCTGCCTCAAGTGCATAGGTTTGGCGGAATCTCGTTCACAAGGATAAACATGCTGCCCGATGAACTTCAGCTCTTACAGCCTGTAGGGACTTGCCAAAATCTTGAGGGTAGATTTTGAATGCCACCGTGTGTGGGCTTGGGAGCACAAGACAATCTTAGCTGGAGACCTCAGCCAACATCAGGGACTCCTAGAGCTTCTGTCACTCCACTTGTAATGTGACAAAAGCAGGAAGCAGGGAAACGGGGCACAGACGTTCCATGATAGGAACTGGATGGTTTGGTGTGGAGAAGCGCTGAGGGGGGGCTAGCAATGCAGGCCGGGGGATACTGGCCAAGGGCCATCTTGGGTTGTGGGAAGAAAATTGGAAACGTCCAACTTGCCACAGTGAGAGGCAGCAGCACCAAGCCACTCCAAGGGCTCTGTTGGGAAAAGTCAGTACATAGCTGGTAGTGATGGGCAAGTTGCTACCTGTTCTGAATGGGCCCAGACTCAGGTCATCCGAGGCTGAAGACCAGGGACTAGTCAATATTTGGATTTAATCCCTCCTACTTGTAAGAAAGTTCAGTGTGCAGTAATGGCAGAGGCTCAGATGATGATGCCCGTGTTAGGAAGGACCCTGGCTGTGTAGAAATGACTGAAAGTAGCATTTTTTCAAAAGGGTGGTCAAATCCCCAGAGTTAGTTTCATTCATCATTTTACTGGCAGATTGTATGCATTGTGGGTAAATAAAAGGCGTGCTGACATCTCCTCTGTTAAAATACCATGAAAGGCACAGATGCATTCTGAAGTTACTTGTTCATGTCTTGTTTAGCTTATAAGCTTATTAGTTCGTAAATGTCTTGTTATAACTTATTACCTGTCTTAGCTGCTTCTTCAAGTGTTTCTTTATTTATAGCAGTAAATGGCTCGTTCATATTCCTGTTGGAGAGAGAGGATTCTTTATCCCTCTTCTCTGAATTGTGATCTACGGAAGACAAAAGACAAAATGTGTTCATCTAAAAACAACCATTGGCCTGCGATTAGTTCTAGTTTTTGTTAAGATTTTATTTTTAAGTAATCTCTATACCTAACACGGGGCTCAAACTTATAACCCTAAAATCCAGAGTCACATGCTCTAATGACAGAGCCAGCAAGGCCCTCCTATGTAGTTCTATTTTTTTTAAGATTTTATTTGTTTATTTATTTGACAGACAGAGATCACAAGTAGGCAGAGAGGCAGGTAGAGAGAGAGTTGGAGGGGGGAAGCAGGCTCCCCGCTAAGCAGAGAGCCCGATGTGGGACTTGATCCCAGGACCCTGAGAACATGACCTGAGCCAAAGGCAGAGGTTTAACCCACTGAGCCACCCAGGCGCCCAGTAGTTCTATTTTTATGATAAAAATAACTTCCTCTCGGGGCACCTGAGTGGCTCAGTCAGTTAAAGGTCCGACTCTCCCTTTCCTCTCAGGTCATGATCTCAGGGCCATGGGATCGAGTCCTGCAGTAGGCTCCACACTCAGCACAAAGTCTGCTTGTCCCTCTCCCTCTGCTCCTCCCCCACTCACACTCTTCTCTCTCTCTCAAAGAAATAAATAAAATCTTAAAAAAAAAAAAAAAGACTTGGGGTGCCTCGGTGGCTCAGTGGGTTAAAGCCTCTGCCTTTGGCTCAGGTCATGATCCCAGGGTCCTGGGATAGAGCCCTGTGTCTGGGGCTCTATGCTCAGCAGGGAGCCTGCTTACCTTCTTCTCTCTCTGCCCGCCTCTCTGCCTACTTGTGATCTCTGTCTGTCAAATAAATAAATAAAATCTTTTTAAAAAGAAGAAGAAGAAGAGGAGAAGTAATGAACCATGTACCCCCAGAACACTTCAAGGCTGGAGTCCCCAAGCCCAGATGCCTTTGAGCTGAGTGGCAGCTTTGGAGTGAGTTTGGTGAATCTGCCTTGGCCGAGTTCTCAAAGAGGTGGGGATCAGACAATGTGGTTGACACCGCTGTGGTATGAGACAACAGCCTCTCGAGGTCTTAATTATTTCTGGGGAAGGAGAGAAATGTGATCCTTCTTTAGCCTGGCTTAGAAAAGAGAGAAAACTTCCAACTTAAAGTGAGTCATAATTACTTGACTACGGAAATGCCAGCTTGTCAAATCAGTCAAGAGATTAATAACCACAGAGACACAGAAAACTCTGGACAGTGTAGAGTTAATCTGCTAAGGGGTTACACTGGCCTTGCTCTTTCACAGAGGTGTGGAAAAGATTGACTCATCATTTGAACACAAATTTTCACCCTCTGTGTCTCTGTACCACAAAAACAAAACCAGAATTAGAAGCCACTGTCTATGCTTACCATCAATGTGGCTTGTGATTTTGATCATTTGTTGCATTTTTTTTGGTAAGACAACATAAGCACAGTTACCAAGTTTTGCCAAATGAGGCCGTTTCCAGACCTCGTTTCAGTGGTAGAAAACCATTTACTATGAGAGAAACAGTAGCCCATTATAAGGACAACAAGCTAAGCCCCATATCCATGAGGTAGACTCAATTCAAGTGCCAGTCACATCCTGGGCCTGGTCAAACTGTGCTAAATGAGTCCAGAACCAAGAAATCTGGGTTTTGTTTTCAGGGAAAAGTTGAAGTCTTACATCATAATTTCTCTGTTTTTCCTCTTAGGAGACTAGCACTGAAATAAGACTCTGATTGCTTCTCTTAAGAGCACCTTACTTGGGGTACCTGGGTGGCTCAGTAGGTTAAGCCTCTGCCTTCGGCTCAGGTCATGATCCCAGGGTCCTAGGATTGAGCCCCACATGGCGCTCTCTGCTCAGCGAGGAGACTGTTTCCTCCTCTCTCTGTCTGCCTGCCTCTCTGCCTACTTGTGATCTCTGTCTCTCAAACAAATAAATAAATAATCTTTAAAAGAAAAAAAAAAAGAGCACCTTACTGCTGCACCATTAACTGAGAACTAGGTTCCCTTCAGCAGAGCTCAATCAGTAATAGCTGGAACTCGCGCACACTTATGCACACTTTAACACGACACTTCACTTCTCAAAAAAAAAAAAATCATTTCCTCAACCCTCTTCCTACTCAGCTCTTTTCACCATTAATTTTGGCGCGGGGCGGGGGGCAGGTATGGTTACGGCCGCTAAGGAAGATTTGTGTGGTCTGGATTTCCTACTCCAACAGAACAGCTTCAGAGCAGCTGGACTTTGACAAGAGGCCTGGTCAGCCTCTTTTTCTTATGTGGTGTGACCTCTACTACTGTCTGCAGGGGGTCTCATCTTAATTCACTCTCTCTACTCAAAAAACCTTGGCAAGCAGTCCCTCATCTCTTGTGCTCTCAAAGCTCCATTCAAAGAACCTGAAGCACTTTTTACATCCCTTCCATTTTAGCATAGTTATAACTAATAATTATGGATGACGCTGACTTTCCTATTGGCAGTGAAATCTTGGAGGACACAAGTGTCTTCCTTGTTTAGTTCTCAACTCCTGGCACAGCGCCTCTCACCAAGTAGGAGATCAATAGCTAGGTCTTGAGTGAGAGAAGGAATCCTGAAGACTCTTGACTGAAACCTCATGAGAGACTCTGAGCCAGAACCACCCAGCTAAGCCTGATTTGTTGGCCAAGATTATAGTCCTTTGAAGGCTTACTGGTACCAGAGGGTCTGTTTCCAAGACAGCTCACTCACACAGACGTTGGCAGAAGGTCTCATCTCTCCACTAGCTGGAAGCATCACAAGGGCCTCTCCTTAAGTCAGTGGACACTACTGAAATGTCCTTACAACATGGCAACTGACTTTCCCCAGAGTGAGCAATTCAAGAGATAGCTGGGCAGGAAACAAAATGTCTTTGATGACCTGATCTATGAAGCAGAACACCATCACTTCTGCCATGTTCTATTCATTTGAAGCAAGTCACTAAGTCCATCCCACACTCAAGAGGAGGGGGACCAAAGAATTTCTGGACCTATTTTAAAGCCACAGTAGAAATGAAATTCCAAGGAAGATAGCTGAACAAAGGAAATATTTGCTTATGTCCATATAAACATAAGGATTTTTTTTAAGATTTTATTTATTTATTTGACAGAGAAAGATCACAAGTAGACGGAGAGGCAGGCAGAGAGAGAGAGAGGGAAGCAGGCTCCCTGCTGAGCAGAGAGCCCGATGCGGGACTCGATCCCAGGACCCTGAGATCATGACCTGAGCTGAAGGCAGCGGCTTAACCCACTGAGCCACCCAGGCGCCCCATAAACATAAGGATTTTAATCAGCTCCCTCCTGTTTTGTGGATGGAGAGAAGTGACACTATTACAAAGGGATCTACACTCTACAGGAAGCCTGGACTTTGGTATATGACCCATCCCATTAAGCAGAGACCCCTGAATGATTGAACCACATGCTGAGATCAAACCATATGAAATATGACAGATTTTTTTAAAAGATTAATTTATTTATTTTAGAGAGAAAGCAGGGAGGAAGAGCAGAGGGAGAGGGAGAAAGAATCTCAAGCAGACTCCCTGCTGAGCGTAGAGCCAGACACAGGGCTTGATCTCATGACCCTGAGGTCATGACCTGAGCTGAAATCAAGGGTTGGATGCTTAACTGACTGAGCCACCCAGGAGGCCCTTAACCATTTTCGACCTATAAAAAACAGTAAGTTCAGATGATTCAACCTGACATTATACTCCCAAGGTAAGTTTTCTAATCTATGTATTTCTTTTCATTGTGAGACTCCTAGAAACTCAACACCATGGATTATCAAGATGAGTGTAATGATCGATTTTTAATATGATCCTTTGTGTATTGAAGAAAAAGAGAAAAAAAAGAATGGCCTCCAAACCTAGTTTAGATTGGCAACTGTACACCTTGGGGGTCTGGGAAGATAGAGGAAAATAAATCCATTTTATACTCCAGGCACTGAGTCAAGCTCCTATAAGAAAGAAAAATCGCACACTGAAGGAGCCAAAAGTAAACTTGAAGAAATAGAAAGACATCCCCATTCCAGCACAGAATGACTTACCATCAGTTTTCCCAAAATGAGTAGTCATGTCTGTCTTATAAATTTAATGCATGACTGTTTTATAAATTTAATGCAATGCTAATAAAAATATCGACAGGCTTCTAATGAAGTTACACAAGTTGATACTAAAATTTATGTGCAAAAACAAACATTCAAAAATTGCGAGGAAAATACAGAACGAACAAAAACTGCAAAGAAGGGGCTAGTCGCATAAGGCACTAACACAAAGTAGTTCAGCCTCTGTAATTAAAATAGGGTGGATGGATGCCTGGGTGGCTCAGCCTGTTAAATGACTGCCTTCATCTCAGGTCATGAACCCAGGGTCCTAGGATCGAGTCCCGAATCTGGCTCCTTGCTCAGCAGGAGCCTGCTTCTCCCTCTGCCTCTGCTGCTCCCCCTGCTGTTTATGCTCTCTCTCACTCTGACAAATGAATAAATAAAACTAAAAAAAAAAAAAAAAACAGTGTGGTACCGTTGTATACAGCAACCAGTAGGCCAGTGGTTAGGATAGAAAGCCCAGGAAGAGACCTAGGACATATGGAAATTTAGTATAAGATAAAGGAGGTATCTCAGATCATCGGAACACATGGACTTTTTAATAAATGGTGTAGCCATATCAGAGAAAAATGGCATGACTTGGACTGTGTTGATTAAATCATTCGAACCCGTGTATGGTTCTCAGTATAAAATCATTCTCTCACAGCTGCTGGTATAGACCTAGGTGCCAAAGAGATGCTCAACTACACTGAATTTATGATTATCATGAAATTCACAGAAGGAAATCTATAGGACAAATTCAGGAATGTTAGAGGTATTCATTTTAAAGAGAATTTGGGAGTAAATTAATCTCCAAAAACCATCTAGGTCAATGATTCCAAATGTTACCTGTAGGTAAGTCACTTGGAAAATAGGCATAATTGTGTGGAACCCCGGACTCCACTTTTAGAAACTCTCGTGGGTTCCAGAAATAAGGGTTGATAATCTCTTCCCATTTCTCATCCTCTACCCCATGGTTGATGCTTGGTCAGGGTTGAGAACCACTGACGTAGTTCATATTCTTATTCCCAGGAAAGACCACATATTTGCCAGCTTGGACAGTGACATAATTAGCCTATTTTTCCTTTTTAATCTTTCTAGCTGCTTCGGGAAGAAACGTTTCATGGGATGCTAGTTTCTTATCCTGTCTTCAGAGCCAATGTGCTCCCCCCACAATTGGGTCTGTATGGTGAGCCTTTGCTCATCAGCTAAAGGAGAACACTTTCCCACAGTCTTCATCGTGGGGCGGGAGAGAACCCCTCTGGGCTATCACTTCAAGAATGTGTTCTGTACCTCACCAGTCCCTGCCCGCAGGGGGAGAAAGGGACTTCACGAGTAAGTTTGGGAAGAGGATTCAGGTACCTCTGGCCATCCGCTTCCAGAGAGCAAATATTTTGACCTGCTCTTCAATGCTGTGAATTTTACAGAATCAAACTCTCTTGTGGTGGGGTTTTGGGGAAACCATAGGTACTCTTCCTAATTCAAAAAGAAGTCCCCACATTATCCAACCAAGTTTTCTAGAGAAGATAGTCTGAGCTTCATCTATAGGATGCTTAGCTCAGTGTCACATTTGCTTCCAAACTCAGGTACAAGAAGATGAGGTATGACTTATTGGCCCCCAATTCCGAGTACGTCCATTTGCATTTACCATTAGTAGAGATTCTGTCCACGCTGCCAAAGAGAAACCTTGGTGCAGTAGAATACCCAGCAACATTGGGTCCTTTGATGAAAACTATGGTGGGGGTTGGGGGGGATGAAAGAGAAAAATTTGTATCAGTACACACTTTTGAGTGAGCACTTTGGGTCCATATTTTGTTTTAAGTGTTGAAATGCTGACATAGAATTCCACTTGTATTTGGAATGTACATTTGAAAGTTTACATGTCAATGTAGAGCAAGGCATCCGCTAGCTGCTGCCTGGAGAGGCTGGTGCCCATGCAGAGTCTGTGGGAAACAAACCTCGGGAATTGAAATTCACATCTGTATGCAAAATTCCAACACAGTGCCCATTTCTCGGCTGCCCAGGGCACTTCCCTGTACTGCTGGGAGTTTCTGATACATAATTCTATCCTTACAACCTATGATCAAACAACTGTCTTAATTCTCAAACTGCTACTTAAAAAAAAGTAATAATCTGAAGCTGCTTTTGGGAAGAGTGTACTTTTCTTTTTTGTTATTTCTCCTGGTGTGCCCTAGGCCAAGTGATTTTTTCGCCTAGGTCTTATCCATTAAATGCGGGGACTAATGACTGCACCAGCTCTCCCCAGGGGCTAAGCAAAGTATCAAAGTATGCGGGGGGGAGAGAGGGTGTATATAAAGTGTGTGCAGGACAAAGTTATGATGTTACTCAGGGCTCCTGTTGTAATTCCAGTTCCTATCTTCTGAACAGCCTCCAGAAAGTGAGAACCTGCTTGACACATGAACTCCAAGGATCCCCCCCCAAAACAGAAGGATAGGCACATCTGAGACCATAGATTTGAAGGTTATAGAGAGGTTTGCAGACAATTCTTTCCTTCCTTTCTTGATTTGTCTTTGCCACACATGGAGCTGTTTTAACAAATGCTAAAATGATAGCACTGTATATATCACATAATACAGAGACCTATAGGAATATATGCACCGATAGTTTAAAAGACATATACTTGCTTTCTGAATTCATGTCTCTCTTTGTAATTGATTTGCCTGCTGTTCTGGCTTCATCAAATGGTGTCCCATACGGAGCCTTGTAAAACACTTGCTGTAGAATTTCATCTCAAGTGAAGTAAAAAAGACGTGTTAATACCAGCCTTGGGGGATTGACATTTTTCTCTGTAAGTACCTAAAGCAGTCTACAAATACAATAAATAGATGATATTAAGCTCAGGGGACATATGAAATTATACTCTGAAATACCTTGTCTTGGGAAGGGAAATCCTAACTCCTACAATCATTTCTGAAAAAGTGTGATTGAGCTAGATGTCTTGAGAAGTAAATACTTCCCATGAAAAGATATGCAGCTAGAAACTTTGCCCCAAACCTCATGACATTTAGTGTCATTATCTTCCTTCTTGCTCCTGTTATCATTCTAACCCACCTCTGAGACTTCCCCAAGATAGCCCATGTATATTTTTTTATTTTTATTTATTTGACAGAGAGCGAGATCACAAGTAGACAGAGAGGCAGACAGAGAGAAGGGAGAAGCAGGCCCCCTGCCGATCAGAGAGCCCGATGTGGGGCTGGATCCCAGGACCCTGAGATCATGACCTGAGCTGAAGGCAGAGGCTTAACCCACTGAGCCACCCAGGCGCCCCTGGCCCATGTATTTTTATAGGATAAAGTCCCCCAGGGCAAACATAAAGCAGAACAGATTTTTAAAAGTCAGAAAGCTCTTTATAAACTGTTCCTAATTTCTCATGGTTATACATTTTTAAATGTACTCATCTTTCTTTCCTTTTTAAAGTTTTCAGCCTTCTGCTTTTCCCTGGGGACAGCAGTTGCTTGTTCTTTCTAGTTCTACTTTGCACAGCCAAGGAAAATAACCCTCACAAATTCCATCCATTCTGTATATATTTTGAGCCTCCTTTTTCAAGGCTGTTGGTACATGGGTAGGTGTTCCACTCACCTGACAGAATATGCTTAAGGACCCAAAAAATTAACTTTCAAATTTGCTTATTCAAAATAATGAGTTTTTGTCATCAGCCCCACTTTTTTTTCACACTATGATCCCATTTTATTTAAAAAAAATTTTTTTTAAACACAATGCAACCTAATTTTACAGGTACATACACAGGTCTGTAAATGTAGGATAAAACTACTGAAATGGGGCACCTGAATGGCTCAATTGGTTTAAGTGTCTGCCTTTGGCTCAGGTCACGATCTCAGGGTCCTGGAACTGAGCCCGCCTTGCATCCAGCTCCCTGCTCAGCAGGGAGTCTGCTTCTCCCTCCCCAGCACCCCCTTGTGCACTCTCTCTCTCCCTCAAATAAACAAACAAAATCTTAAATGGAAAAAAAAAAAACTATAACAGTCATCTTTATGGAGGTAGGGAACAAAGATCAAATAGAACTTCAGCATTAAATAAATGTAAGGTTTTAGTTTCATGTATAAGGAGACTATCACTTGTGTAAATACCAAACTTTTTAATTCACCAGAACTGACACTTTCCAACCAAGGTGAGAAAAGGGCACTATTGAGAATGATCCCAATTTTGTAAAAGCAGTAGAACCAACAAAAAAATCTCTGCACAAGCACTTATGTTTTTACTGGCACAGAGACAGATGGAGAGAGAGGAAGAATACACACCTGGCCGCTGGAAAGGGTGTAGGGAGGAGACTATTAACTTTTTCTTTACCCACTTCATACTGATACCTTTGTACCTTTTTAAAAAGGAAGTTAATTTTTTAAATGAGATATTATTAACCTCAAATAGCGCCCATTTTTGATAGTATAGAGAGGGCGACCATCTCTACTCACCTTGTCACCTATCCGGCAGAGGTACTCAGCCTTTGCCATCCTGTCACCAGCCCCTTCCTTGATAGATGTGTTGACCTGTAAATTCCTCAACTGTTGCTCAGAGAGAACCTGGAAAGTTTATTGGTGGGCCCCAACGCCAAGGCCAACACTAACGTGGTGCTGGGCAGGTCAATAGGCCTTTAGGGGATGATGGGATCCTCCCAAACCCCAAACCAGACACCCACCTTCACACTCACTCAATCTCCTTCCACACATGTGGGGTGGGATTCAGAGACATGGGGCTTCTGCAAGAAGGACAAAAGTCTCTGATTCCCGGGTGAGAATTCCCAGCACAGTAAGGTGGCTGCAAGAGCTATCGGCATCCCTTCACTCATTCAGTCATGGTAACTACCCACCATGCAACCAGCCAGACACTCAGTGCAGGTCCCCTGGAGCCTCTTTAATAGCACACGTGGAGGAGGGACAAACCCAGAATTCCCAACATTGGGCATGTAGAGATGTCCCATATAGAGAGACGGCCCTTCCAAGCAAGACTGGCGGGCATAGTTCTGCAATCAGAACATCCAACAGGTCCTAACCCAGAGGGAAGCATCAGTGCTCACACTCCTGAGAGCTCTTTCTCAGACCAGATGTAACTCTCAGTGTCTACCCCTGACCCACATACACCACCAGGGAGGAGAGATTTCTCTGGATTCTGGATGGCTTCCATACTGCATCTGTGGTTTCAAACATTTTCCCTCATCTCAGCTCTCTGAAAAGACCTCCCTAGACCTTATTTTGTGGTTGCTGTTTTTAAAACTTTTTAAAAATTTATATATATAATTTATGGTGTTTATATATATGTGTGTGTGTGTGTATATATATATACATATATATATTTATATAATCTATGTTGATTATATATAATTTCCATTTTAAGCATTTTTAAGTGTACAATTCAGGAGCATTAAGGATATTCACACTGTTGTGCAAACCTCACCACTATTTATTTCCAGAAATCTTCCATCTTCTCAAACAGAGACTCTGTACCATTAAGCAGTAATTCTCCATTCCTCCCACCCCCTAGCCCCTGGGAACCTCTATTCTACTTTCTATCTCCATTAATTTGCCTATTTTAGATACCTCACATAGGTGGAATCATACAATATTTGTGCTTTTGTGTCTCCTTATTTCATTTGGTATAATGTCTTCAAGGTTCACCCATGAATTAGCATGTAACAGAATTTCATTCATTTTTATAATCAAATAATATTCCATTGTATGTCTATACCACATATTGCATATTCATTCATCTGTGATGGACACCTGAATTATCTCCACACTCTTGTCTATTGTGAATAATCCTGCTATGAACGTTGGTATACAATTATCCGTCTGAGCTTGTTTTCAATTCTAGTAGGTATATACCTAGAATATATTCTAGATCATATGGTATATTCTGGATCATATGGTAATTCTATGTTAAACATTTGGAAGAACCACCAAACTGCTTTCCACACACTCCATTCTCACCACCAATGCACCAACTTACATTCTCACTTATTTCCTACATTCTCACCAACACTGATTTCCCTAAAAAAAAAAAAAAAAAAAAAAACCACACACTCTAATATGTGCAAAGTTTTATCTTATTGTGGTTTTGATTTGCGGTTCTCTAATGACTAGTAATATTGAGTAACTTTTCATGTTCTTATTGTCCATTTGTGTATCTTCCTTGGAAAATATCTATTCAAGTCCTTCATTGATTTTTAAATTGGGTCATTTGGTTGGTTGGTTTTTTTTGTTGTTTTTGAGTTGTAGCAGTTCTCTATATATTCTAGATCTTAATCCCTTATCATATATATGATTTGCAGAGATCTACTTCCATTCTGTGGGTTGTCTTTTCACTATCTTGATAGTATTTCTTGATGCACAGTTTTTAATTTTGGTGAAGTCCAATTTATCTATTTTTCCTTTTGTTGCCTATGCTTTTGGTGCCAAAATTAATGCACCTTTGCCTAATCCAAGCTCATGAAGATTTTCTCCTATGTTTTCTTCTAGAATTTAAAGCTTAGCTCAAAAATGTAGGTCTTTCAACAAGTTGTTTTAATTTTTGTGTATTACTATTTACTATTAAGTAAAGATTCAACTTCATTTTTTTGCATGTGAATACTCAGTTTTCCCAGGACAGTTTGTTGAAGAGACTGTTCTTTCCCCTTGAGTGGTGTTGACACCCTTGTTTAAAATCAAATGACCATGGATGTATGCATTTATTTCTGGACTCTCTGTTCCATTCCATTCATCTATAAATCCAGATATCCTTATGCCAGTGCCATACTCTTTTAATCACTGTAGTTTTGTAGTAAGTTTTGAAATAGGGATACTTCCAAATTTTTTATTCTTTTATTTTTTAAGATATATTCATTTATTTGTCTTAGAGAGAGAGAAAGAGAGAGAATATCCAGCAGACTCCCCACTGAGCACAGAACCTGATGCGGGGCTCAATCCCACAACCCATGAAATCATGACCTGAGCCGAAACCAAGAGTGGGAGGCTTAATCAACTGAGTCCCCCAGGAACACTCCAAATTTATTCTTCTGTTTCAAGATTATTTTGACTACTTTGGGTCTAGTGAGATTCTATAGGAATTTCAGAATGAGTTCTTCTATTTTTGCAAAAAATGCAATTAGAATTTTGATAGGGTTTGCACTGAATCTGTAGATCACTCTGGGGACTATTGTCATCTTTACAACAGTAAGTCTTTGAATCCGTGAACATAGGATATCATTCCATTTATTTAGGTCTTCTTTCATTTCTTTCAGCAATGTGTTGTCCTTTCCTGCGTACAGGATGTTTGCCTCCTTTGTTAAATGTATTCCTAGGTATTTTAATCTTTTTGATGCCACTGTAAACAGAATTGTTTTCTCCATCTCTTTTCCTTTTTTTTTTTTTGGACTATTCATATCAGAATATAGAAATACAAATGATTTTTCTGTGTTGTTTTTATATCCTGCAAACTTTCAGATGGAGCTAGAGTATTATACCAAGCAAAATAAGCCATTCAGAGAAAGACAAATATCATATGATTTCACACATATGTGGAATTTAAGAAACTAAAACAAAGGAGAGAAGGGAAAAGAGAGAGAGAATCAAACCAAGGAAGAGATATTGGTGCCTGGGTGGCTCAGTCAGTTAAGCGTCTGTCTTTGGCTCAGGTCATGATCTAGGATCCTGGGACTGAGTCCCACATTGGGCTCCCTGCTCGGTGGAGAGTCTACTTCTCCCTCTGCCCTCCCCCTTGCTTGTGCTCATGCTCTTTCTCTTTCTCAAAAATAAATAAATAAAATCTTTTTTTTTTTAAAGAAAAATTTTTTAAAGACACAGACTTAACTATAGAGAACAAACTAATGGTTATCTGAATTAATTTTTTAGCTCTAACAATTTTTGTGAACTTTTTATGGATCTATTTTAGATCCTTTTATTTCTTTTTTCTTTTTTTTTTTTTTTCCTAATTTCTCTGCTAGGACTTACAGTCTATGTTGAAAGAATTGGCAATGGGTGGCTCAGTGGGTTAAGCCGCTGCCTTCGGCTCAGGTCATGATCTCAGGGTCCTGGGATCGAGTCCCGCATCGGGCTCTCTTCTCAGCAGGGAGCCTGCTTCCCCCTCTCTCTTTGCCTACCTCTCTGCCTACTTGTGATCTGTCTCTGTCAAATAAATAAATAAAATCTTTAAAAAAAAAAAAAAAGAAAGAATTGGCAAGAATGTCTCATGCCTGATATTAGGAGAAAAATTTCCATTCTTTCATCACAGAGTATGATGCCAGCTATATATTTTTCATATATGGCAATTATCACATTGAGGAAGTGCCCTTATATTCCTAGTTTATTGAGTGTTTTTATCACAAAAGGATGTTAAATTTTTAAATAAGTTTTATTTTTAATTATATTAAAAAACACATAACACAAAATTACCATCCTAATCATTTTTTTAGAGATTTTATTATTTTTATGTAACCTCTACACCCAATGTGGGGTTTGAACCCACAATCCTGAGATCAACAGTTGCATGCTCCACTGATTGAGCCAGCCAGGAGCTCCTACCATCCTGATCATTTTTAAGTATACAGTTCAGTAGTAGTATTTATTCTCCTTGTTGTATAGCAGACATCCAGAACTTTTTCATCATGCAAAACTGAAACTCCATGCTCATTAAACAACTCCCTGTTTCTACCTCTCCTACCCCAGCCCCTGGCAACTACCATTCTACTTTCTTTCTATGAACTTGACTTAAGATAGCTCTTATTAGGGGCGCCTGGGTGGCTCAGTGGGTTAAAGCCTCTGCCTTCAGCTCAGGTCATGATCTCAGTGTCCTGGGATTGAGCCCCACCTCGGGCTCTCTGCTTGGCGGGGAGCCTGCTTCCCCTCTCTGTCTCAGCCTGCCTCTCTGACTACTTGTGATCTCTGTCTGTCAAATAAATAAATAAATAAAATTTTTAAAAAGGTATCTCTTATTTATAGAACCATACAGTATTTGTTTTCCTGTGACTGGCTTATTTCAATTTGGCATAATGTCCTCAAGGTGCATTCATGTTGTAGCATGTGACAGAATTCCCTTTCTTTTTGAAGCTGAATAATATTCCACTGTGTGTATATATGCGTGTATGTATATATGTTAAAGGGGTTCACTGTCACCTGTGGGATTTATGTTAGTCTATTCATCCATGGACACCTTTTGGCTATCGTGAAGAATGCTGCTATAAGTATGGCAAATATCTCTTTGAGACTTCCAATTCATTTGGATATATAACCAAATATGGGATTACTGGGTCATATAGTAATTCTATTTTTTTAATTTAATTTTTTAAAGATCTTATTTATTTATTTGTTTGTCAGATAGAGAGAGACAACAAGAAAGTGAGTACAAGCAGGGAGAACAGCAGGCAGAGACAGAAGCAGGCACCCTGCTGAGCAAGGAGCCCAATGTGGGACTCAATCCCCGGACCCTGGGACCATGACCTTAGGCAAAGGCAGACGCTTCCCCAACCGAGCCACCCAGGCCTCCCAGTAATCCTATTTTTAATTTTTTGAAGAACAGCCATACTGTTCTCCATAGCAGATATACCATTTTACATTCCCAACAAGAAAATTGGATTTTCTAGCCAATATGCTAATCTCTGCCCTTTAATAAGAGTTTAATCCATTTACACATAATGTGATTACTGATTAAAAAAGAATTTATGTCTGCTATTTATTTGTTTCCCGTGTCCTATAAATTCTTTGTTCCTCGGTTCCGTTATTACTGCTTTCCTTTGGGAGTTTGTTGATTTTTTTTAAGATTTTAATTATTTATTTATTTATTTATTTGACACAGAGAGAGAGAGAGAGAGCACAAGCAGGAGAGAGAGAGAACAAGCAGGGGGAGCTGCAGAGGGGAAGGGAGAGGCCAAATCCCTGCTGAGCAGGGAGCTGGATATAGGACTTGATCCTAAGACCCTGGGATCATGTACTGAGCTGAAGGCAGATGCTTAATAGACTGAGCCAGCCAGGCACCCCAATTTTTTGTAATGTTATATTTCAATTGCCTTCTTTGTTCCTCTTCTGCATATGTTTTAGTTCTTTTCTTCATGGTTACTTTGGGAATTACCACTAACATTTTAAACTTATAACAACCTAGTCTGAATAGTACCAATGTAGTATATGAACACTCTGCTCATATATATCTCTACCTTCCCCTATATTGTCACAAATTACATCTTTACACATTGTATGTCCATGAACATAAATTTACAATCATTGTTTTATTCGTTGCCTTTGAAATCACATTGTAAAAAGGAATGAGGTAACAATCCAAAATTACAATAATATTGATTTTTACATATACCTATATAGTCACCTTTACCAGTGTTCATTTTATTCTCAAACTTTTGACTGTCTAGTGTCCTTTATTCAGCCTGAAGTACTCTCTAGCATTTCTCAGGGGGCAGATCTCTAAGCTTTTGTTTATCTGGAAATGTCTTAATTTATCTTTTATGCTCAAAGAATAGTTCTGTCAAATATAAAACTATGGGTTGACTGCACTTTTTTTTCGGGACTTCGAATGTGTCATATCATTACTTCTGGCCTCCATGATTTTTGAGGAGGAATCAGCCATTAATCTAATTGAGCATCCCTTGTAAACACTGAGTAGTTTTTCCTTTGCTGCTTTCAAGACTCTGTCTTTGTCTTTGGGTTTCAGCAATTTGACTATAATGTGTTTCAGTGTGAATCTCTCGCATTTATGCCTGGAGTTTCTAGAACTGCTTGGATATGTAAAATAATCTAATTTGAGAAGGTTTTGGCTATTATTTCCTCATGTATCTTCTCTGCCTCTTTCTCTCTTCTCCCACTGGGATTTCTGTAATGTATATGTTGGTACACATGATGCTATCTCACAGGTCCCTCATCCTCTGACCTTTTTTTTTTTTCTATTTTTCTTCTTTCTGCTCCTCAGACTGGACAATTTCAATTGTCCAATTTCAAAATGATTCCTACTTCTACCTGCTGAAATGTGCTGTCAAATCCTGCCAGTGAGTTTTTCATTTTAGCCACTGTACTTTCCAACTCTAGAATCTCTCTTTGGTTCCTTTTTATAATTTGTTTCTTTATTGATATTCTCATTTTGTTCATTGTTTTCCTGATTTCCTTAATTCATCAAAGACAGTAAACACACTGAAGATGGGTTCCTATTGCCCATTCTGGCACCAGCAAACTGCACTGAGAATGCAGGCTGTTGACTACTTGGCCACCTGTTATGGGCCTGGGGGAAGGAGAATGGTAGGATATATATGAATCACTAAAATTCACTAACATTTACCAGTCTCTTCATTAAGCATTCCTCTGGACAATGCAAGTGCTCCACTAGAATCCAATCGTCCAAAATAGTTTCTTAAGATACTTTTTGGCAGTTCAATTGTAACATATTCTTAGAGCTTCCTACCATCTTCTTTCCAGGCCTTGGTTTTCTCAAATGTTACATGTGAGACTTGGAACATATCAATGAGTCCCAGCCTGGAACCACCTAGAGAGCTTTAAAAACTACTGGTGCAAATATCTCATCCAATGCCACGGAATCTGATCAGCTGTCTTTTTTTTTTTTAAGATTTTATTTATTTATTTTACAGAGATCACAAGTAGTCAGAGAAGCAGGCAGAGAGAGAGAGAGAAGGGCAAGCAGGCCCCCTGCTGAGCAGAGAGCCTAATGTGGGAGTCGATCCCAGGACCCTGAGATCACGACCCGAGCCGAAGGCAGAGGCCTAACCACTGAGCCACCCAGGTGCCCCTGATCAGCTGTCTTTTTAACAATCTCTCCAGGGGATCCTCGTGGCTCAGCTAGGGCTGATGACCTGGGGAGAAGGTTTATCTCAGCCTCAGGCCTCACCATCCATTGCTATAGGAATCTCCCGGGCCCTTCATCAGGTAGATGTGGTGCTGCTGGTCTAGGGTGGGGTCCGGCTCAGCACCTGAAATAATTCCCATGTGGTAGCCCTGCTCTGCTGCACGGAGCCCTCTCTGAGGACCAGAATCCTTGCCAAGTGTTTACCTTCCATACTTTCCTAATTTCCTGGGACTCTGACACTTGAAAGAACTTGCTGCAGCCTCAACGCCAGCACTTTCCCTCCCATCAAAACATCGGGTTAGCTGAGAGATGACCCTGGAGAGGGGTGAGACTCTTCAAATATAGCCTGATGGCTTCACATGAGGAGATCACTTACCAAATAGTTTAGAAAAATGTTCTTCTCGTTTATTTGAACTTGATACAAATTCACTATTTTTCAAGCTCTTTTTTTGAGGATAACCTATGGGGAAACAAACCTTAGCTGTGATTAAATCATTCATTGGACTGACATGAAATCTTTTTAAATCTCTACTTTTTTACATGGTGTTTCCAGAGAAGCATCACACACTTTACCTGCTCTAGGAGGAAGAGCACCGAACTTGGGTTCTAGTCCACCCTCTGAGTGCCTTATGATCTCGGGCAGTGAAGTTCTGAGGGACTTGGTTCTCCCATCTGAGACTGGTGGGAAGAGGCCTGTGGGGAGGGGCTGAGATGAAATTTGCTGATGTCATCTGTGGATGGAAACGTGCTCTCCCCTTATCACACACCAGTGTTAGGAACTACGATGACCAGCAAGAAGGGACACTGGATCCAAGCATGGTTGTGCTCGGTGCTCAGTTTTGGAGGGGAGCAAACACAGATAGACACACTCAACAAGCACTTTCCCCTCCATAGGAAACGATGCCAACAAGCCATGACTTTGACCATCTTGGAAATGGGATGCCTTCTTATTTGGGAGGACAGGGAACAACCCTGCTGCTTACGCTGCACTAATCCACACAAGGGTCTATGTTTGGAGGGGATTCAGAGGGCCTCAGGCCACGCCTACCTGACCTGTTTGATAAGCACAAGGAATTCCCCATGTTGTCACTGAGGAATAAACAAAGGAAGGACTGGGTCAACAGTCTCCCCTAGGATGCCATAGACTGATTTCAAGACTCTGCTGACACTCAGGTGGCCGCATCAAGGATATGGATTAACTGTGCTAAAAAACTGTAGTAACTCATATTTTGAACTATATTTTCAGGATATTCTTTATGGACATTGTGATACCTATGTGTCCGAACACATTTTCTTGATTCTAGGTCAAGGCCAGGCCTTTTCTCTGGCCCTAGGTGAGTAGGCACAACCAGCAGGGAGGAGAAACTTATGCCCTAATGAAGAAGTTTCAGGGTCACAGCAGCAGTCACCTGTCATAAGTGACAGAGCATTCATGAAGTGTCTACAGAACCTCAACTTTTAACACAAAACCAGGAACACCAGTTTTCACATGGTTTCAATATGGTAGATCACAGATCACAAATCAATATGGTAGATCACAGATGATCTACACAGCCACTGAGTAATCTGTGCACATTAACTTGTACACATTACAGCTTTCAACTCTACAAAAAAAAAAAAAAAAATTGGTAGGGAAGCCTGCATGGTGGATGCCAAAGATTTAAAGTATGACGCCTTTGATCCAACTAGTGACAAATACAGTTTTCTAGAGATGAAACATTGGTGAATCATGAGGAATAGATATACTCAGTCATTCAAGCACTTTGTCAAAAATGTGTTCTTCCTATTGTGTCAGCCAAGGGAACATAAAAACATCGTGCAGGGTACACCATCATTATTACACAGTAAAATATTCACTTTAATCTATAGTTTATAAAATGCAATGGGAGGACCATTGGCTATAAAAATGGTTTACTAATAGGTTTATAATTTTACCACAGCATACATGCCTAGATTATCCTGATAAACAATTCCTCGATCTAAACATTTTCCTAATGCACACAGTGTCCACCTTAAAGGGGTTCACTGTCACTTGTGGGATTTATGCTAATGTACATGTTTTCTGCATATGAGACCAGCTTCTTCCCCTCAGCTTTGGCATTTGAGCATCAGTCCAAAGACAGAGATAGGCTCTGTCTCTCAGTGCAAATATTTTCCAGAGGCTAGAGTGTAGGGTGGGGAGATCAAGGGGAAGAATGTGGGAAGGCTTTACTATCCCAAGCTAGTGACCAGGGCGCTCATGCACATTGAACTATAAAGTACTGGTGACTAGAAAGTCCTTACACTACTCACAGCAAGTGTTACCAAGGACAGTGAGCACCACTTGCAAATCCAGTTTGCATCCTCTGAACAGCCTCCAGAGTGAAAGAACCTGCCTGACACGTGAACTCTGACCTTCAGAGATCACCCTGCAATACCGTGCTATTTATACTTTAGGCCACAGACCTCCATAGTCGGTAGAAGGTTATAAAGAGTATATCAGATAATTTTTTCTTCCACATCTCAGTTTGGTTTTGCCCCTACATACCTGGGTTAAGAATGCTAAAATGATAGGGTAGTACAAACGATACAATACATAGACCTTTATAAACGTGCACTTATAATTTTGAAGACATATACTTGCTTTCTTTCACTTCTCTCTTTGTAATTGACTTTCCTGCTGTTCTTGTTTCATCAAATGGAACTTTGGAAAACACTTGTTGTAGAATTTCATCTCAAGTGAAGCGAGAAAGGCATGTTAATATCAGCAGTCCATGGTTGATATATCTACTCTATAAGCACCAGAACTAGTCTATGAATTCAGTGAATAAATGATACAAATGCAATGGATATATAACGTTATGCTCTAAAATGCCTTGTCTGGGGAAGGAGATTTTGGCCTATCTAAATCATTTCTGAAAAATTGAGATTGGGGGCACCTGGGTGGTTCAGTCAGTTAGGCATCCAAATCTTAATTCTGGCTCAGGTCATGATCTCAACGTTGTGACATCTGCCTGCCATCAGGCTCTGAGCTGGGTGGAGCCTGCTTAAGATTCTCTCTCTCCCTCTCCCTCTGCCCCTACACCCTGCGCTCATGTTCTTGCTATAAATAAATAAAATCCCAATGGCATTTTCCACAGAAATTTAACAAAAAACCCTAAAACTCATTTGGAACCACAGAAGATCCGGAATAGCTAAAGGAATCCTGAGAAAGTAACAAAGCTGGAGGCACCACACTTCCTGATTTCAAACAATACTACAAAGCAATAGCAATCACAGCGTAAAAACCGTATGGCACAAAAACAGACACGTAGACTAATGGAACAAAACCGAGAGCCCAAGAATAAACCTTGCATATAAAGTCAGCTCATATTTGACACGGGAGCCAAGAATACTCAACGGGGAAAAGAGAGTCTCTTTGATAAATGGTGTTGAGAAATCTGAATAACCACAGGCAGAAGAGTGAAAGTGGACCACTGTAGTACACCACTCGCAAAAAATGACTCAGAATGGATTAATGACTTAATAACAGAAGCCACAAAACTCCTAGAAGAAATTGTAAGAGAAAAGTTCCCTGACATTTGTCTTTTTTTTTAATTTTGTTATTCAAATTCAATTAAGGGAAGCCTGGGTGGCTCAGCTGCTGATTATCTGACTCTTGATTCCAACCGAGGTCATGATCTCCGAGTCGTGAGATCAAGCCCCATATCTGGCTCTGCACTCCGTTGGGGAGAATCTCTGCTTGAAATTCTCTCTCTTCTCCTTCCGCCCCTCCCCCACTCATGTACCCACTCTCTCTCTCAAATAAGTAAATAAATAAAATCTTTAAAAATAAATAAATGCATAAATTCAATTTAATTAACATACACTGTATCATTAGTTTCAGAGGTGGGATTTAATGATTCATCAGTTGCATACAACACCTAGTGCTTGTTACTTCAAATGCCCTCTTTAATGCCCAACACCCAATTACCCCATCCCCCTCCACACCTCCCCTCCAGCAACATTCAGTTTGTTTCCTATAGTTCTTGGCAACAATTTTTTGGATATGATATCAAAAGCACAGGAAACAAAAGCAAGAATAAACAAGTGGGACTACATTAGACTACAAAGCTTTTTTTTTGTACAGTGAAAGAAACAATCAACAAAATGAAAAGCAACCTACAGAACGGAAGAAAATATTTCCAAATCATATTATCTGATAAGGGGTTAATATCCAAAATACATAAAGAATTCATACAACTCAATAGCACAAAACCAAACAATCTGACTTTTAAATGGGCAGAGGAATTAGATATTATTCTAGAGAAGACACAAAAATGGCCAGGTGCCTGGGTGGTTCAGTGGGTTAACCCTCTGCCTTTGGCTCAGGTCATGATCTCAGGTTCCTGGGATCGAGCCCTGCATCAGGCTCTTTGCTCAGCAGGGAGCCTGCTTCCCCCTCTTTCTCTGCCTGCCTCTCTGCCTACTTGTGACCTCTCTGTCATATAAATAAATAAAACGCTTTTTTAAATGGCCAACAGATACTTGAAATGGTGTCAACATCACTTATCATCAGGGAAATACAAATCAAAACCACATTCTTATACCTGTGAGAATGGCTGTCATCAAAATGACAAGAAATTTAAAAAAAAAAAGGACAAGAAATAAGTGTTCATGAGGATGTGAAGGAAAGGGGACCCTTGTGCACTGTTGGTAGAAATGTAAATTTTATGGGCTCCAAGGGAACAATTAAAATTAAAAATAAATTATATATATATAATTATTTATTATATATAAATTACATACATAACAAATTAATTAAAATTAAAAAAATAAAAATTAAAAATAGAACTACCATATGACCCAGCAGTCCCACCTGTGGGTATACATCCAAAGGAACTGCACACAGGATCTTGAGGAAATTATCTCCATTCCTATGTTCACTTCAGCATTATTCACAATAACCAAGATGTAAAAGCAATCTAAGTGTCCATCAATGAATGAATGGAAAGAAAAGGTGATGATATATATTACATAATTTTATATAATACATTACATAATACTATTCAGCCATGAGAAAGAAGGAAACCCTGTCTTTTGCAACAACATAAACAGACCTTGAGGGCATTATGCTGAATGAAATAAGTCAGACAGAGAAACACAAATACTGTATGATCTCACTTCTATATAAAATCTAAAAAAACTAAACTCATAGAAACAGAAAATACAATAGTGATTGCCAGGGATCAGGGCTGGGGGAAATGGGGAGATATTGATCACGTTACAAAGTCCCAGTTACAAGATGAGTAAGTTCTGGGTATACAATGTACAACACTGTGATTATAGTTCATGATACTGTATTACATACTTGGAAGGTGCTAAGATAGTAGATCTTAAATGTTCTCAGCATAAAGAAGAAATAATCACAGGGCATGATGGAGGTAATTAGGTTAACACTGTGATGTTCTTCATTTTGCATTATATAATGTGTATCAAATCACCATGTTTACACCTTAAACTTACACAGTGTTATATGTCAATTATGGCTCAATAAATGTGGGGAGGAGTACATAAGGTGGTATCACTGTGAATCATATCGTACTGTCAACTTCAAATAACAGGACCAAAATAAACATTTGGAACCCAAATTGTACAAAGAAACTCTGTATAACAGTTGACATACATTGTCAGTACTGAATGGTTAAATATTTTAAAGAAGACAAAAACAAAGCAGATGGAAACACACTGCCTGGTCTGCAACCCTGAGCCATCGAGACATGTGGGAGAGGCAGAAGTACACACAGACACAAGCAAACACAGTAACACAGTTGCACAGAGCACTTAGACAAGGGACAGAGCAGACAGGAGAGGAAAACCAACTCAGCCCAAGAAAGTCAGAAGGCAGGCACTAAGCTAAGCAGACTGAGAAGAGGGAGTGTGTCCTGCCAGGTAAGGCTGAATTCTGAATCCAGTTGACCATGATGTTTACACCTCAAAAATCACTCCTGTGTGTAGATGTCAGGTGTCAGTCGACTCCTTTCACCTACACACTGGTGCTCACCGTGATCTCGGCAGCCCTGATGGGTCAGTACGTGACATGCAGGAAACTTGGGACTAGGTACACTGATTCAATGAGCTGCAAGCATCATGAAAAGTCTTTGAGGTATTCTTGGGAGGACTGCTGCAGACTGGTGACAGTCCCCACCAAGATCCCAGGAGTGAGGGAGGGGCTGACCCAGAGAATTCCACGTCACATCAGGACTGCCACGACATGACAAAGCCAAAGGGCAAGGCTCTCCTCAGAGGGTTTCAAAATTCACTTACAAATGCTGTATGCAGGGGCACCTGGGTGGCTCAGTGGGTTAAGCCTCTGCCTTCAGCTCAGGTCATCATCTCAAGATCCTGGGATCGAGCCCCACATCGTGTTCTCTGCTCAGCAGGGAGCCTGCTTCCCCTTTCTACCTACTTGTGATCTCTCTCTGTCAAATACATAAATAAAATCTTTGGGGAAAAAAATGTTGTATATGAAAACTGAACCTACAAAAATTGAGTGGAGGCTAGTGGCAGGGGAAGAAAGGACTCAGCACTTATAGATAACAGATTCTGTAAGTTCAGAAAACTCTTCCTTTATAAAACTGTTAGTACTTTTTCATAGTTCTATTTTTTGAAATATATTAATTTCTCCTTTTATTTGTATTTTATTTTTTAAAAGATTTTATCTGTTTATTTAGAGAGAGAGAGCATGAGTGGAGGGGGGGAAAGGGAGAAAGAGAATCTCAAGCAGACTCCCCACTGAACATGAAGCCTGAGGTGGGGCTTGATCTCACAACCTTGAGATCATGACCTGAGCCAAAACCAAGAATTGGACACTTAACTGATTGAGCCACCTAGGCACCCCTCCTTCTTTTTTAAAGGCCGTGTCTATTTCTCCCTGGGGGACAACGGTTTCATTTTTCCCCTTCTAGGTTTACTTTGCTAAGCCACAGAATATAATCAAAATTCCATTGATATCATATTTATACTGAGTCCTTTTTTAAGGGTTGTTGTTACATTGGTGGGTAGTCTACTCACTTGATAAAATAGGTGCTTACAATAGCAACACCCAAAAATCAGCTAAAAGAATTACTAGTAAAATGATGAGTTCTCATTACCAGCCCTTTCCATGACAGATGTGCTGACCTATAAGATCCTGAATTGTTGCTCAGAGAAAACCTGGAAAGTTTATTGATGGCCCCCCAATGCCAAGGCCAACACTGACACGGTGCTGGGCAGGTCAATAGGCCTTTGGGGTATAATGGAATCCTCACAAACCCCAAACCAGACACCCACCTTCACACTCACTCACTCCCCTTCCACACATGTGGGGTGGGATTCAGAGACATGGGGCTTCTGCAAGAAGGACAAAAGTCTGATTCCTGGGTGAGAATTCCCAGCACAGTAAGGTGGCTGCAAGAGCTATCGGCATCCCTTCACTCATTCAGTCATGGTAACTACCCACCATGCAACCAGCCAGACACTCAGTGCAGGTCCCCTGGAGCCTCTTTAATAGCACACGTGGAGGAGGGACAAACCCAGAATTCCCAACATTGGGCATGTAGAGATGTCCCATATAGAGAGATGGCCCTTCCAAGCAAGACTGGCGGGCATAGTTCTGCAATCAGAACATCCAACAGGTCCTAACGCAGAGGGAAGCATCAGTGCTCACACTCCTGAGAGCTCTTTCTCAGACCAGATGTAACTCTCAGTGTCTACCCCTGACCCACACACACCACCAGAGACGAGAGCTTTCTCTGGGCAAAAAGTCCCAGGGCAGGATCATCCCACACCAAGGAATTTGATCACTGAGATGGGAAAGAAGGGAGGAGGGGCTGTCTGTCTCTTTTTAACAATCTCTTGTCTCTTTTTAACAATCTCTCCAGGGGATCCTCGTGGCTCAGCTAGGGCTGACAACCTGGGGAGAAGGTTTATCTCAGCCTCAGGCCTCACCATCCACTGCTACAGGAATCTCCCGGGTCCCTCATCAGGCAGATGTGATGCTGCTGGTCTAGGGTGGGGTCCATCTCAGCACCTGAAATAATTCCCATGTGGTAGCCCTGCTCTGCTGCACGGAGCCCTCTCTGAGGACCGGAATCCTTGCCAAGTGTTTATCTTCCATACTTTGCTGGTTTCCTGGGACTCTGACACTTGAAAGAACATGCTGCAGCCTCAACGCCAGCACTTTCCCTCCCATCAAAACATCGGGTTAGCTGAGAGATGACCCTGGAGAAGGGTGAGACTCTTTCAACCAGTATGGTAGCTTCACACTAGGGAGGTACTTACCAAATATTTTAGCCAAACCTTCATCCATATTTTTTGAACTTGATGAAAATTCAGTGTTTGAACCTGTGGAGAAAATAAACCTTAGCTGTGATTAAATCATTCATTGGACTGACATGAAATCTTTTTAAATCTCTACTTTTTTACATGGTGTTTCCAGAGAAGCAACATACACTTTACCTGCTCTAGGAGGAAGAGCACCGAACTTGGGTTCTAGTCCACCCTCTGAGTGCCTTGTGATCTCGGGCAGTGAAGTTCTGAGGGACTTGGTTCTCCCATCTGAGACTGGTAGGAAAGGCGCCAACCACAAGAGGCCTGTGAGGAGGGGCTGAGATGAAATTTGCTGATGTCATCTGTGGACGGAAATGTGCTCTCCCCTTATCACACACCGGTGTTAGGAACTACGATGACCAGCAAGAAGGGACACTGGATCCAAGTGTGGTTGTGCTCGGTGCTCAGTTTTGGAGGGGAGCAAACACAGATAGACACACTCAACAAGCACTTTCCCCTCCATAGGAAACGATGCCAACAAGCCATGACTTTGACCATCTTGGAAATGGGATGCCTTCTTATTTGGGAGGACAGGGAAAAACCCTGCTGCATACGCTGCACTAATCCACACAAGGGTCTATGTTTGGAGGGGATTCAGAGGGCCTCAGGCCATGCCTACCTGACCTGTTTGATAAGCACAAGAAATTCCCGATGTTGTCACTGAGGAATAAACAAAGGAAGGTATAAACGGAAGAGGACTGGGTCAACAGTCTCCCCTAGGATGCCATGGACTGATTTCAAAACTGCCGACACTCACGTGGCCACGTCAAGGATATGGATTAACTGTGCTAAAAAAAAACTACAGCAACTCATATTTTTAACTATATTTTCAGGCTTTCTCTTTATGGATGTTGTGACAGGTCAAGGCCAGTCCTTTCTGCAGCCCCAGGGGATTAAGAAAACCACCAAGGAAGAGACACCTATCCCCTAATGAAGTGTTGTTAGGGCCATAGCACCCACCCACTGAGTGCCCCAGCATTCATAAAGTATCTGGAAGAATCTGAACTTCTTACAACCAGTGGCAATGCAGATTCTCACCTGGTTTCCTGGCAGAAAATCTGCATAACCATTGGTAATGTGTGCTCATGGAGGCTTTCAGCTCTACACAAAAATTGGCAATGAGGTAGTTAATAGTACATAGACATCGCTTCCAGGTCTGATGGCTCTTTCGTAAACGAAAGAAATAAAAACTTCTCTTTTGCTGAGACATTAGTGAATCATTAAGAATCAATACGGACGGGGGGGCACCTGCCTGGGTGGCTCGTGGGTTAAAGCCTCTGCCTTCAGCTCAGGTCATCATCTCAAGGTCCTGGGATCGAGCTCTGCATTGGGCTCTCTGCTCAGCGGGGAGCCTGCTTCCCCCCCCCTCTCTCTCTGCCTGCCTCTCGGCCTACTTGTGATCTCTGTCTGTCAAATAAATGAAATCTTTAAAAAAAAAAAAAAATCAATACAGTGGCAGTGGAAGTAAGCCCAAGCAATAAAACGTTTGTTCCCAAAAACACTTTGGTTTTTAAAGTGCCCTGATAAAGAGTAGTCACATTCCCCCCTTTTCCTGATGTCACCCCTGATGGACAATTTGTATGATGTACCTCTTGTCCTTTTTGCTTTGCTCCACAGGCCCAGTATCTTTATAAGAATTTGCCAGAATGCTATCAGCCAATTAGTTTAGTAAATATCAAAAGTAGTTCCAAACGCAGTAAAACCCTAAAATAGAGGATGTAAATCTAGTGTTCACTTCGAAAAATCTATGTTCCTAAAATATTCACAACAGCATTATTCAGATAGCTAAAAGGTGGAAATGACCCAACTGCGGCATAGGCATGCAAGGGAATATTGTTGGGCCACAGAAAGAATTGAAATACTAACACAGATTACAGTGTGACTGAACCATTAAACCTATTAGACAAAAGAAGCCAGTCACAGAAGATCACATGCTGTGTGAGTCCATATACGAAATATCCAGAGGAGACAAGTCTATAGAGCAGTCAGCACGTGAGTGGTTGCTAGGGCCTTGGGAAAGAAGGAATGGGGCATGGAAGCTGGTGAGTGTGACTACTTCTGGAGTGATGAAAATGTTCTAAAATTAAGCAGTGTTGGGATGTCCAGGTGGCTCAGTCAGCTGCATCTGCCTTCGGCTCAGGTCATGATCCCAGGGTCCTGGGGTCAAGCCCCACGTTGGGCTCTTTGCTCAGCGTAGTGTCTGCTTCTCCCTCTGCCTGCTGCTCTCCCTGCTTGTGCTCACTCTTTCTCTCTCTCTCTCTTTCTGGCAAATAAATAAAAAATTCTCTTTTTTTTAAGATTTTATTTATTTATTTGACAGAGATCACAAGTAGATAGAGGGGCAGGCAGAGAGAGAGGAAGGGAAGCAGGCTCCCCACCAAGCAGAGAGCCCAATGCGGGGCTCGATTTCAGGGCCCTGGGATCATGACCTGAGCCGAAGGCAGAGGCTTTAACCCACTGAGCCACCCAGGCGCCCCTAAATAAAATCTTTTAAAAAATAAATTAAATTAAATTAAGCAATGGTGATTCACAACTCTGTGAATATACTAAAAAGCACTGAATTATTTATTTAAAAGGGTGAATTTTATGTTATGTGAATTATATCTCAATAAAGCTATTTTTAAAAATGTGTGTGTGCATTTGTGTGTGTATGTGTGTGTGTGTGTTTATATGAGGGGATAGATGAAACAAGATTGGCCTAATTAGTGCATAGAGGTTCATACTAATCTTTCTACTTTTGTATATGTTTGAAAATTTTTATAAGCTTGGTGCCTACGGGCTACCCTCCCACAGAGGTCTTTTGAGAAAGCTTCAGACAGGAAAAATGTTAAAGTTACCTGCTTCTGAGCAAGAAGTCCTGTGGTAAATTCAGGAGGTAAGGAAGGTAGAGGTGGAGAGAAATCCTGTGTTCACCATTCCACCTGCAGGAGGACACTATCCCTGCCTAATTAGGTTCACAGTGAGTCTCTTACTTGGGTATCTGCCATACTACACTTGTGACAGGACCTTTGAGAGGGCAGAGCTCTGTACCTTGCCAATAGTCCAGGAAGAGAACAAAGAAGAGTGTCTCAGCTCCTCTCTTCTTTGCCATTGTCTGTATATCTCCTGAAATCCTGCAGCCATAATGGCCTCGAGCTCCAGGATACTGCGGAACCCAGAGGTCTGTGAAGTCACACCAAGAAGCAAGGTGGGGGGCGGTTCTACAGGAGATTGGGGGAGGGCCTGGTGTCTGAGGACAGGGGCCACTGGCCACCCTAAGGAAATAGGCTTTCCACCCACTCCCTTTGGCTCTGAAGTGCCTTCCTCCATTCTGTGTGCACTGTACCCTAAAGATGGTAGGATATTAACCAGGACTCTTAAGTTGTACATGACAGAAAAATCAACTTTATCAGCTTAAGTGAGGGCCACCTGGCTGGCTCAGTCAGTGGAGCATGTGACTCTTGATCTTGGGGTTGTGAGTTTGAGCCCCATGTCGGATATGGAGATTACTTTAAAAGCACACACACGGGGGCGCCTGGGTGGCTCAGTGGGTTAAAGCCTCTGCCTTCGGCTCAGGTCATGATCTCAGGGTCCTGGGATCGAGCCCCACATCAGGCTCTCTGCTCAGTGGGGAGCCTGCTTCTCCCTCTCTCCCTGCCTGCCTCTCTGACTACTTGTGATCTCTGTCTGTCAAATAAATAAATAAAATCTTTAAAAAATAAATAAATAAATAAATAAATAAATAAAAGCACACACATGCATACACACACAAAAATGTAAATAAATCAGCTAGGGTAGCCAAAAAAATCTTATGCTAAATCAAGATATCACATTAGGAAAGTATTGTTATTTATTGTATTACATATGTATTATGTATGATTCTAACTCTAGGGCACCTGGGTGGCTCAGTCGATTAACTGTCTGTGGCTCAGGTCATGATCCCAGGGTCCTGAGATGGAGTCCCGCATCAGGCTCCCTGTTCAGCAGGGAGTCTGCTTTCCCTTCTCCCCATCCCCCACTCATGCACACGCTCGCTCTCTCCCTCACTCCTTCTCTCAAATAAATAAATAAAATCTAAAATATATATATATGATTATAACTCTGAAAATACAAACAGAAGTATAAGTTGATGTTGTCACATGTGTATTACTGCTTCCCCTATTATGTTTTATAAATATTGAACTTTTTTTTAAGACTTTGTTTATTCATTTGTCAGAGAGAGAGAGAGAGAGCACAAGCAGGGGAAACAGTGGGCAGAAAGAGAAGTAGGCTCCCTGATGAGCAGGGAGCCCAAAGCAAGACTTGATCCAAGACTCGATCCCTGGACCTTGGGATCATAACCTGAGCTGAAGGCAGACACTTAACTGACTGAGCCACCCAGGTGTCCCAATATTAAACTATTTTTAAAGGAAAAGTCTTTATATTTCAGCACCTTTAACTGCACATTTTTTCTTGCATTTTTATTTTGCACTGGATCCCACAAATTATGTAGCCAGCCCTGCCCTTTAGGCTTTAAGCTCATGCACTACATGCAGTCTGGGACTAAAGAGGTCTTTAGGGGACAAAAAGTTACACAAAAAGTTATACAGCAGAATTCTGAGTGACTCAGGCATTAGTTTGTGGGGACTGCCATAAAAAAAGCACAACAAAATGAGGGAAGGAGCACTTAAATAATAGACATCTATTGTTTCGTACTTCTGGAGGCTAGAAGTTCAAGATCAAGGTGTCAGCAGGATTGGTTCTTACTGAGGCCTCTCCTCTTGGCTTGTAAATAGTTGTCTTCACACTCCATCCTCACATTCTCTTTCCTCCACATGTATATGTGTCCAAATTTCCTCTTCTTATAATGATACAAGTCATACGGGCTTAGGACCCACCCTGATAACTTCATTCTAACTTGACTGCCTCTGTAAAGATAGCCCAAATAAAGCCACATTCCTAGGTACCATGGGCGAGGATATCAACATAAATTTAGGAAAGGGGATACAATTCAATCCATAACATTAGGTAATGGCAGCCCCATAAAAATTACTTCTCTAAAATATCTTCACAAGGGGCACCTGGGTGGCTCAGTGGGTTAAAGCCTCTGCCTTCAGCTCGGGTAGTGATCCTGGGGTCCTGGGATCAAGCCCCGCATTGGGCTCTCTGCTCAGCAGGGAGCCTGCTTCCTCCTCTCTCTCTCTCTCTCTGCCTGCCTCTCTGCCTTCTTGTGATCTCTGTCTGTCAAATAAATAAATAAAATCTTAAAAAAAAATCTTCACAAAAACAAAACACAGAACAACAAAACCAACATATAAAACAACACAAGACTCACACCCTCAGCATAACCAAAAGAGAAAATGTCCAACTTCAAATTATCAGTAAATAGAAAAATAAATACTAACTCCAGGTACTGACTCCCTCACTTCTGCCACTTGCCTTTGTAGTGAAAAAACACAGCAGTCCAAAACGGTCTAAAATCTCCAGAAAGAATAAACCTACCCTATGTGTGGACATGAAAATGTGTCTTGATAGATGGGGAAAAAAATCCCCAGAGGTAGAAAAGACATGAGAAAAGAGATGGGTGAAGCTTCAGTGGAGCAAAACCTTGGAAAGGGCTGAGTGTGGGCTAGGTGTGAGGTGGAAATGGAGTCTTCTAGGGGCCTTTTACCAGGGAGTCTCCATACAATGCTGAAGGTTAGTAGAAACCAAGGCAATGGGAAATAGGCTAACTTCAAACTCAAGGTGCATAACCACCTAAATCTTGATTTCCACTGCCCACTCCTATTACTCTCCCCATCTCAGCAACAAATCCGTCCTACATGCACTCAGGCCAAAATCCAGGATTCATCCTAGACTCCTCCTTTTCTCTCTCACCACACACCCAGTCCATGCACAAATCCTCTCTGTTCAGTTTTCCCCCACATCCCCAAGTCTGGGCACCTTGCCCACCTCCATTGTTCCTGTGGGGACTATACCAGCATCACATTCATTTTACTGCTGATGAAAAAAGAGGCCAGATAAGTCCCCTTAACATTCTTCAGGCCACTGCTGAATCCCAGTGAGTCCTATTCCCGGAATCTTCACCACCTCCTTTCCCATTTACCCCTTCCCTTCCCTTGCATCGGTTCACATCACCAGAGGAAGAGAATTCAGGCTGTTTTGCAACCTAAGTGCACACTATAGCACTCACCTTTAAGTGATCATTAGACTTTTTCCTGCCTCATTTCTCTTATTTCCAGGTGGATTTGTTAAGAATCTAGGCATGAAGGGAAAACATCTATAATTATGCAGTCATCCAGGTCTAGAGGAGGAGTCAATAAACTTTTTCTATAAAAAGCCAAATACAGGGCACCTGGGTGGCTCAGTGGGTTGGGCCGCTGCCTTCGGCTCAGGTCGTGATCCCGGTGTCCTGGGATCAAGTCCCACATTGGGCTCCTTGCTCGGCCGGGAGCCTGCTTCTCTCTCTGCCTCTCCCGGCCACTTCGCCTACTTGTGCGCTCTCTCTCTCTCTGACAAATAAATAAATAAAATCTTAAAAAAAAAAAAGCCAAATACAAAATATTTTGGGCTCCACAGGCCACATATGTCTCTGTCACACATTCTTCTTTGTTTATTGTTATTATTGTTACCTTTTTTAAAGATTTTTTTATTCATTTATTTAGGAGAGAAAGAGAGCATGAACAGGGTGGAGGAGCAGAGGGAGAGGGAAACGATAACCGACTCCTTGCTGAGCAGGGAACCCAATATGGGGCTCAATCCCAGGACTCTTGAGATCATGACCTGAGCTGAAGGCAGGAACTTAACTGATTGAGCCACCCAGGTGCCCCTATTGTTCTTTTAATAATGCAAAAAAAAAAAAAAAAAAAAAAAAAAAAAACACTGGAAAAAAAATGAAACCAAAAGCTCGTTCTTTGAGAAAATCAATAAAATAGATAAACCTCTTGCCAGACAGATGAGGGGGAAAAGACAGAAGACAACAATTACCAATATCAGGAACGAGAAAGTAGACATCACTACAGATACTACAGATGATAAAGGAAAATGACACTATATTATGAACAACATTTTGCCAATAGATTCTACAAGTTAGATAAAACGCACAGAGTCCTTGAAAGATACAAACAGAACTTGCTCAAGAAAAATAAATAGGGGCACCTGGGTGGGTCAGTCATTAAGCATCTGCCTTTGGCTCAGGTCATGATCCCAGGGTCCTGGGATCAAGCCCCTTATAGGGCTGCCTGCTTCTCCCTCTCCCACTCCCTCTCCTTGTGTTCACTCTTTTACTGTGTCTCTCTTTGTCAGATAAATAAATAAAGTCTTTTTTAAAAAAGAGAAAAAATAAATAACCTAAATAGTTCTACAAAAAAGAAATTGCTTTTCTTTCTAAAAAAGAAAAAGCTCTATATTAAAGAAACTGAATTTGTGGGTAGAAACTTTCCCACAAAGAAAACTCAAAGTCCAGATGGCTTCACTGGTTAACTCTACCAATATTTAAGGCATAAATACCATCAACTCTATACAAACTTCTGAAAAGTTGAAACTGAGGAAATACTTCTTAATTCATTCTGTGAGACCAGCATTATCCTGATACCAAACCAGACAAAGATATTATAATAAAAGAAAACTACAGGCCCATATCTTTCACAAAAGATGCAAGAAGCTTTTTTCTAAAGATTTATTTACTTATTTGAGAGAAATCCCCACTGAGCAGGGAGCCCAACGTGGGGCTCGATCCCAGGACCCTAGGATCATGGCCTAAGCCAAAAGAAGACACTTAACTGACTGAGTCACCCAGTCACCCAAAAGATGTAAGAATTCTTTTTTTTTTTTAAGATTTTATTTATTTATTTATTTGACAGAGATCGCAAGTAGGCAGAGAGGCAGGCAGAGAGAGAGAGAGAGGAGGAAGCAGGCTCCCTGCCAAGCAGAGAGTCCAAGGTGGGGCTCCATCCCAGGACCCTGGGATCATGACCCGAGCTGAAGGCAGAGGCTTTAACCCACTGAGCCACCCAGGCGCCCGACGTAAGAATTCTTAACAAAATTTTAGCAAATTGAATCCAACAGTGTATTTCAAAGGGTAACATACCACAACTAAGTGTGTTTTATCCCAGGAATGCAAGTTTGCTTG